AGGTACTGGGATTCTTGTGTAGGGGTTGTGGGTCTTTGCCAGAGAGCAAGGCAGACCTTGGAGTGAGGGGAGGGAAATGCTGCTCTTGATTGAGCCGTTGCATTGCAGCTCCATTTGGGGGAACATGGGCTATGTAGTCCCCCCCCAAAAAAGGCCGTATCATCTACATTTGTCTTCAATGTGGAAGAGATGGTCACTCTCGAATTGGCCTTCTCAGCCACACAAGACAGTGTTCCAAGACCTCCATACAGAGCACGTTACCATAGTCTCTCCAGACTGAAGGATGCCTACACAACGCCTACACATCATCTACATTCCATCACTTCCGGGGCTGGGTGGGTGTGGACCATCAGAGAAGCCCTGCAGGGGCAAGCGACACAAAGTGGAGAGATTCAGGGAGTTGTAGAAATTAATTAATTTATTGAAATATATATCTGCCACTTTGGTGCTAAAAGAAGCAAAGGTAAAAGCTCAAATAACGAATGACTGCAGTATTCAAAAAGTGTTAACCACATACCATATTGGAACTCATAAAGAAGAGCAGTGTTTTAAAAGTAGGCGTTCTAAGTGGTGGGGATGGGAGACCAGGCAGAAAAGCCCTGTTGGAGCTGATTCCAGAGCTCAGAATCCACCCACCCCAACACTCTCCTCTGTATGAACTGGTCAGCTTGTGGTGGAGAGTATCTCACTGCCAAAATGCAACAGCCTTTATACATTCCTTTCTTGGCCACCTCTTGCCCAGTTCATCAAGATGGCCTGTCACTGCCGGGCCTCATTGATTAAAAAAAAAATCAGCTCTTTTGGAAGAACTGGGAAACTAATTAAGTAAATACAGTACTTGTAGCCTTGAGAGAAATCCCAGTGTTTGTTGATCAGATGGGCAACTGCATTTGCAAAGGACTTCTTTCTGCTTTGTGCACTACATCCCTTCGCCTAGAGCAGTGGTTCTCAACCGTGGATCCCCAGATGTTCTTGGACTGCAATTCCCAGAAGCCTTTACCATCAGCTGTGCCAGCCAGGGTTTCAGGGAGTTGCAGTCCAGCATCATCTGGGTGACCCAAGGCTGAAAACCACTACCCCAGATCAGCCTGAGGTTGTTTCTGTTCTTGCTGTACAGACAGCAAAATGAGGTGCCCACAGCCGACGAAGCATTCCAGGTTCCCAGAGAACAAAGCTGAATTCTCTTCACAGAGGCTACACTGAGAAGTAATGTTTAAGATGGAGTCTGGTATAATGCTAGCATGTGTACCCTTCCATTGGCAGAAGCGGACCCATCTAAGGCCCGGCCCCGTAGCCTACCACATATACCTTATATTTCTCATGGGTCAATTGAGTTGATGGCAAAATTCTGTGAAAACTAGAGAAACAGGCAGGGTTGGTTCCCCCTTCTTGTGCAATCCTTTTCAAAGACAAGAAGTCAAACAGGGATGCATTCTTTTGCCTGGGTGGCAGTGACTCCTTTGCAAAAGTCCCTGGAGAAGTTTGCAGTTGTCCAGTCTTCCTTTGATACTCTAAAGAGATGTGTTTTTCATGTAGTACTGGCTGTTCTCTCTCTCTCTCTCTCTCTCTCTCTTTCTTTCTTCTTCTTCTTCTTCTTCTTCTTCGTTCCTAAAGTCAATGTTAAAAATGGGGAGGGTTGAGGTCTGAGGCACAGGATACTTGAGGTGCTGAGGAAGAGCTATGTTTGGTTGCCTCCCCTTCCAGCAGGAAGCTGAGGAGCAGCCAGCATCTTTCCTGAGAGAGACGGCATGCCTCACCTGAGAAGGTCTTCCTTACAGGGAGGAAATCTTGACCATGCTCCAAGCCCTTCAGGATTGCCACCCGGTCCTTCAAGAGCCTCGTCGTTTCCCATCACCAGGGGAAGAGCTGGCCTTTGGAGGGGCCCCAGTTTGGAGCATTCCCACCTGATTCATCAGACGGCGTCAGTCGGAGCCCTCACAGCAGAAGACATTGAGAAAGCAAGGGGATCTCGACCAAAAAAAGGCCAGGAGAACTTAGTGAAAGTGAGACAGAAGGTATGGACTCTCTCTTGAGGCAGAGAAGTTGGTGCCTTGGCTGGCCAAGACATTGGGGGAAGAGCTGGCAATGATTCGTTGAGTTAGGTTTCAGCTGCCAAAAGTTTAGGAATGGGTCCGTTACATTCAAGCAGGAATGTTGCTGCTTTGATTTCTCTGTCTTCCGCAGCTTAGCGAGAGGGCCCGGGAGCGGAAAGTGCCGGTTACACGGGTTGGACGGTTCGCAAATTTTGGAGGTAAGGTCCACCAGGCAGGGACGTGCACAACTGAGGGATGGCGTCCGAGAGAGAGAGAGAGGGCCTGTTTACTGTTGCACTGCCCACAAGCCCGCTGTTCATGGTAGCATTGGGCTGCAGAGAGATGCCGAGATGGCCTGTTGCTGAAAACTGGGTGTTGCTCTTTGCTGACAAGCTTCACAGCCATTGGCTTGGCTGGTGTGATGTCACGGAATGTTCATAGGGATACCGATGACTGCCAAGAGATAGGAACCTTGGAGGCTGGTTGCAGCTTCTGCAAGACTGTTTTTACTCTCATAAAAATCTAATATTTAGTGGAGGGCCTTCTTTGTTTGGAAATGAAACCGTTTTGTGAAGCAGGTTGAGATCAGAGTGGTCTGAGAATTCGTAGCTGAGTGTGAACCTTCCGACTGTGAAAATTCAGTGTTTTCCAGTGCCATGTCCTATTAAGACTCAGAGTCTGCTTGGCAGGTTTCGGTAGAATCTATGGAGTAGCTTGATCTCGTTGCTCCTGCTTGGATTTCCTGAGCCGGGGATTTGGCAGGACCCAGAGAACCCCCCTTCACGTGATCCTTTTTTCTCTCCCCCTCAGGTCTCGCTGTGGGCCTAGGGCTTGGAGCCCTGATGGAGGTGGCGAAGAACTCGCTTAATGGGGAGCAGAAGCCAAAGAGTAAGAACAGGACGCTTTCCTTCGCACACGGGTGCCCTTGGCAGCTACGGAAGTCTTGGGCAAGACAGGGAGGGTGTGTGTGTGCAAAGATTTCGGGAGGTGGATTGGGACTCCTCCTTGCCCTATGGACCACGATGGACGAGCAGAACATCCTGGCATTCCAGGAGCAATGCCTGGGTGTCTCCCTGCTGCCCGCTTCCCTCCTGCTGTGCTTTTGTCAGGAAGGAGCAAAGGGCTTCTCAAAGGAGAGAGCAAGGCTGCTCCAAAGAGTGCCAGGACGAGGCAGCTGGGTATCCATGTTGGCATTTAGGGTTCGGCTTTGGGGATTGTACTGGCGCCTTCTCCTTTGGGGAATGAGTCTGCCGACAAACTTAAACAAAAACAAAACAGGATAAAGCCTAGCCTATGGGCACTGCATAGCTCCAAGAGATCTCTCTCTTTTTCCACCGGATACCCTGAGGTTTTTTTGTTTTGTTTTGTTTTTTTGCAGATGGTAGCCTCCTGGAGTCCAACCCCTTCCTCTCAGAGGCCAACGCGGAGCGGATCGTGGACACCCTTTGCAAGATGCGTGGGGCAGCCCTCAAGATAGGACAGATGCTCAGCATCCAGGGTATGAGGGGGGCTGTCTCTTCCTCCTCTCTTCTCCCTCCAACTTCTCCACACTGGTCTGTAGGAATTCTGCCTGATGGATTGGGTTTTATGCTGACTGTGGATCCCGACTCTTTTCCCCAGCCAGGGTCTGGTTCCTCTGTTCAAGGACTGTTTTAGATCCCAGGTCAGACCAGAGAACATTTCTCCTTAGCTTAGTCTTTCTCTGCCGTTACCTTCCCTGTCCAACATGGCAGTACGTAAAAGCATCAGGACTGTTTTTTGCACTGCTAGCTGTAAAAAGAAACATTACAAGGGGGTGTGTTTAGGTTGCTGCCTGCATCCCGTCTCCAGGTAACCCCTCTCTCCGCAGACAACAGCTTCATCAGCCCTCAGCTGCAACAGATCTTTGCGCGTGTCCGCCAGAGCGCAGATTTCATGCCTCCCTCTCAAATGATGGTGCGTTGGCAGGGGGGTGTTTGTCTTGGGGGAGAGGGAGCTGCCGAAAGCCATCACGTGCCATGGCTGAGGCCAGTATTGCACAAATGGACTCTGGGGGCATCTCCGAGGTGCCTCAGAGCTGTGAGCGTGGAAGCTGGACTCGGGGCCTGTTTGAGGCCCCACACATTCCAAGTTGGGGTTCTCTGCTTTTGACCTTCCAGAGGGTCCTGGTGGAAGATCTGGGCCCTGACTGGCGGGAGAAAGTGGCGTGCTTTGAGGAGAGGCCCTTTGCCGCGGCATCCATTGGCCAGGTGCATTTTGCGAGGCTGAAGGACGGCACGGGGGTGGCAATGAAGATCCAGGTATCAAGGCTGGCCCCAGCCCAGTGTGTGTGTTTTTTGTGTGTGGCTGCCCGGTGGCTCTGGGGAGAGCAAAATGGGGCTTGGAGGGGCGCTCTGGTCCATGAGAAGAGTTGGTGGGGGATGCACAGGCTCCAGGGCAGGTGGTGCTCGTAACCCTTCGGACCAACAAGCCCACTAGCCTTCCCCCCAAAGACCTTGAGATCTTTCCTCCCTTGCAGTATCCTGGCATTGCTCAGAGCATCCGCAGCGATGTGGACAATCTTCTCTCCATCCTCAAGATGAGCGTGATGCTCCCTGAAGGTAACGCCTGTGGGAATCAAGGAAGGTGCAAGACACCTTGCAGCCACTTCAGCTTCTAGCTGCTCTTAGGATCGGGATGAGGTGCAAAGATTATGGGGTGGGGGGTGGTTGGAGAGATCCCCCTTGAAGCCTCTGCCCCTGTTGGCACGGTATTCTTCCGGGGCCCTGACATGGAGTCGGTGGCTGTTACGGCATTGTGGTGGTTGCCTGGGCAGCTACAGAATGATTGCGGACATTTTAAAAGTTGGAGTCATGGAAGGGGGCCCGACAGTAAAGGCTGCATACCAAGAGAAGCTGGATAAACAAGATTTGGGAAAGTAGAGAAGAGACCCAAGGAGGCAGGAAGTGCGCATAGCCTTGCAAAGCTTTAAAAAAAAACCTGTAATGCCTGGATAGGCAGAGACAGGGCAGGGAGGTGGCTTGCTTTCAGTGGGGTGGACTGCAGGTGGGCCCAGGTATTAAAGGCTTTCTAGGTGGGCTTGGGGGTTTAAGAATGGGACCCGTTCAGTCCACCTGCTGGAGCAAAGACCATAGCCTGAGTGGTTCTGCATTTATTGAGTTCACCTAAGGAGGGATTCAGGCCCCCCTTGCTCAAGCGTAAGTTGGTGTCTAGTGTGCTTCTCACCCTGCAGCTCTGGACGGGGGGTGCCGGATCCTCCGTGTGTCTGCGTGGCTCCCTCTGCATGCGTGTTTTGTGTTGCTCCTTCTTCCTTCCCTTCTTCCAGGCCTTTTTGCAGACCACTCCCTGCATGTGCTGCAGAAGGAGCTGGAGTGGGAGTGTGACTACCTCCGGGAAGCAGGTTGCGCCAGGAGTTTCAGGTATGCGGGAGTCAATCCCTGGCTGGGCCTCGGGCGGGGGCCTCCACCCCAAGACCATCTCCTTGGCATGCATCCGGGTGGGCGGGGGGCACCATGCAGCTTCCGCTCAGGCGCCGGTTCTGCCCTCCTCTCTGGAGAGGATCCTCGGCTTCCACCTCCCAGCGGAGCCTTCCGGGACGGCTCTCCCCTTTCTCCAGGCAGCTCCTGGAAGGCGACCCGTTCTTCGAGGTGCCAGCGGTGATCGACGGGCTCTCTGCCAAGCGGGTCCTCTCGATGGAGCTGGTCGGCGGCGTCCCGCTGGACCAGTGCCAGGCGCTGGACCAGGAAATCCGCAACGAGGTGGGGTTTTTTTTTGTAGTTTCTCTTTTGCTCTCCCAGTTTTTCCAGGAGAGCCTGAGGCCGTGGACGTGTCTGTGTGGCTCCCTGCTTTTTCCTCACAGCACCCCTGCCAGGCAGGTCACGTGGACGGAGCGCGACTTTCTCAAGGGCGCTGTGAGCAGATCACGCCGGTGGGACCCCCTTTTCTTCCTTCTCCTTTCAGCGCTTGTGACCTGGTGAAATGGCACCCCCAGAGTTTCCATTTGGGAGGCGGAAATAATGGATGATGGGTTTTGTTTTTTTGAGAGCTGGGGATCGGGAGAGGCTTGGGGAAGGTGCTCTGGGGGTACCTGTCTGACACACGCAGCCCGTCAGGCACACTTCATCCCCCACCCCCATGGAAAAGAGGCCCCTCCCAGCTCTTATCCGCCGCCCTGGCGTGGCTGGAAGGCCTGAGCGAGGGGGATTCACCCGAGGCCTTCCGTTTCACCCCTTCCAGATTTGCTTGAACATCCTTCGCCTTTGTCTCCGGGAGCTCTTTGAACTCCGCTTCATGCAGACGGATCCCAACTGGTCAAACTTTTTCTACGACGCCGAGAGACACAAGGTGCACTGGGGGAGGAAGGCTGCTGGTTGGAGCCCTGGGGGAAAGAGGTGCTTCAAAGAGGGCCGGATCCTCCCCTGCACCATGGCCCCACTTGGGCCCCTAGCATATCTGATACACCTCTCTCTTTCCAGGTAGCCCTTCTGGATTTTGGGGCCAGTAGGCCCTTCACCAAGGAGTTCACCGACCATTACATTGAGGCAAGTGCCCGGTTTCCACCCGAGGGAGGCACTGAAGTGTCTGGTTTGGAAGTTTATAGATAAGTCCCTATCCTCCCCTGCACCATGGCCCCACTTGGGCCCCTAGCATATCTGATACACCTCTCTCTTTCCAGGTAGCCCTTCTGGATTTTGGGGCCAGTAGGCCCTTCACCAAGGAGTTCACCGACCATTACATTGAGGCAAGTGCCCGGTTTCCACCCGAGGGAGGCACTGAAGTGTCTGGTTTGGAAGTTTATAGATAAGTCCCTGACTGGGGGATTCTGGGATTTGTAGTCCAAAATTACCCCAGTGCTCATATCTGATACACCTCTCTCTTTCCAGGTAGCCCTTCTGGATTTTGGGGCCAGTAGGCCCTTCACCAAGGAGTTCACCGACCATTACATTGAGGCAAGTGCCCGGTTTCCGCCCGAGGGAGGCACTGAAGTGTCTGGTTTGGAAGTTTATAGATAAGTCCCTGACTGGGGGATTCTGGGATTTGTAGTCCAAAATTAATCTTCCCCTGTGCTGTCCCGTCCAGATTGGCAGCCCCCCCCCACGTCCTATGGGGTGGGGAGAGGAGGGGCAGCAAGGGTGGCTGACGTGGTTTCGGCGAAGCCCAGCCTTTTCTTCCCTTTCAGACACGTGCGGGCTGCTGCATTGGGGACCTCCATCCTTTGTGGTCTAGAGTTTGGGCTTCTGGGCAGCTCAGCTCCCAACCCTCTGGAGGACCTTCTCTACAACACCAAATCCTTTTTCTTTTTTTCTCTTTTTTTCCTGGCCTTCCCAGGTGGTGAGAGCCGCTGCCGAAGGGGACAGGGCCAAAGTGCTTCAGAAGTCGAAAGACCTCAAATTCTTGACAGGCTTGGAGGCCAAGGTGAGTCCATTTGCATCTGGCCCCATAAAGCCCACCCTTCCGTGTATACAGCTCTACAGTGGAACCGAGGGTGCACAGAGCTTGCTTTCTTGCGTCTTCTCTCCTTTGTCTTTGGGAGGCCCCTCTGAGCCCTCTTTGTTTTGACGGCCATTGTACAGCTACTGAGCGCACCCTCGGTGACAATTCCTCCCCACCTTGCGGGTTGCCAAAGGCAGGTCAGCTACTGAGCGCACCCTCGGTGACAATTTCTCCCCACCTTGGGGGTTGCCAAAGGCCTGGGGGAGATGCTGTTTTGCAGCCAAGGCTTCTTTTACTGGCATTTGCATGTGCTGCTATGTATGCGTGTGCATGCACACATGTATCCCTTTCCGTGCTGTCTTCCTGGCCCCTGCAAGGACAGGGCGAAGAGCAGGGACGCTTTCTGGCTAGAAAGGTCAACCCTCAACAGCTGCCTGACTGGCCCGTAAGAGGCCCAGGCGTACAGCACAGCGCCCCCTGGTGGAATCGTTGCTGGGACCAGATTCAAGTACTCATCTCGTGATGACGAGAGAGTGGTTTGTAAATAACACTCGTGCTGGTTCCTCCTATCACAATATTCTTTCCTTAATCTCTGCTTTCTCTTTATGAAACCTGTGCAATAGACCAGTAGCAGCGACTCCATGGTCTAGACGGCAACAGCGAGGCTTGCTGGCAGCCAGTGAGAGCAAAACCAGTGCTTGTCGTGATTTCTGCCATCACATTAGGGAGCGGTGGGGCAGGCTTCCAAGGGCCTCCCATCCTGCTGGCCTACATCTGACTTTGCTAACCATCCTCTCCTCTCCTCTCCTCTCCCCTCCACCACCCTGCTGCTGCCCTGAGGTGGTGTGTGGGGTGGCCGTTTTGCCATCGCAGCTGTTTGCCCCATTGCTGTTCCCCTTGCCCTTAGGGCTGGGCAGCTAGAGGGCGGCCCCGGGCAGCCCCTTTGGCCCAAATCTCGGAAGTGGCAGGAGCTGCCATTCTCGTGCGTGGCATCATGGAAGAAATGACTCAGCCAAGCAGCTCCTGGCTCAGAAGGCTAGCAGGGTGGCAGAACATTTCGTTTTTATTCAAGGCGAAGAGAGAGCGAGAGAGAGAGGTTGAGCAGCAGCAGTATTGTGTAGAGAGGAGCATCAGGGCTGTGGGTAAATAATATTTTTAAAACAGCATATGATTTTCAGGCACAGATCTGGGTCTTATATTTTATAGCTCTTTATCAGGCTGTCTGCATTGCTGATTTAATTATTGTCCGTGTATTATCCACCATATTACTTCCGAATGTAGTTTTTTGTTTGTTTGTTTGTTTACGGTGAGGTTTTGAACCAGGCAATTTTTAACCTTGTAAGCCTCCCAGAGCAGTGCTTACACTAATGGGGGCCAGTGTGTGTATATGCCTCCCGCTATCCCCCAGCTCCTGCAGGGGGACAGCGGGAGGCAAGGAAGCACTTTCTTATCGTGGGCAGATGGAATCGGTGCCCTGCCTTGAAACGCTGCCTCCCCACCCCACATGAGAAACAGTTTTGGGGGTTTCCGCTGTGTTTTGCCAGAGATTCTGACAAGAGATTCTTTCGGATTCAGAGGTCGCAAACACAGGCCGTGGGGAGCAGGTACCAAACAGCGGCACCGTGAGTGTGTTTTTTGTGCTTCCGCTGGGGACAGCTCCAGTTTTGACTTCCCCCGTTTCCGCCAGGTCTTTGAGGAAGCCCACGTGGACGCCGTGATGATCCTGGGGGAACCGTTCTCCACGCCCGGATGCTTTGACTTCAGCACCCAGAGCACGACTCAGCGCATCCAGGACCTCATCCCCGTGATGCTGAAGCACCGGCTGAGCCCCCCGCCGGAGGAGAGCTACTCCTTGCACCGGAAGATGGCCGGCTCCTTCCTCATCTGCTCCCGCCTGGGGGCTTCCATCCCCTGCCAGGAGCTGTTCGAAGAGGCCTACGCCCGGTACCAGGCGGAGCGGCGGGCCCCCGCGCTGATGGACGGAGCCGAGCTTCAGGGAGCGTCGCCGTGTTTGTGAGAGGCTGCCCTTGAAGGGAGCGGAAGGCTCTGAGCGTGAGAGGCGTCCGCGAGAGGCTGCTCGACTGGCCGGGGTTCCAGACTGGGGTCCTCTGAGGTGCTGTGCCATTGTGGATCGGCATCTTAGTCCCAGCTGTTGACTTGACCCACCCAAGTTATCCACAAGGACTGAACCCCTTGTGTGTGGGGGGGTGAGGGGTGCTGTTTCCTGCCTTCAGTGTTTGGAGCTGTTTGGGGAGCGAGGGCTCCCTTTAGTGAGGAAACCAGCCAAGCCAGAAGGGGTTGCCTCTCTCCTCTTCCTCCTGCCTGTTTTTGCCTGTTACTGGGCTCCATACCTCTCTTGCTCTCTCCCTCCTGCTCTCTCTCACTCACTCACTCCATAGAAGACGTCCGCCTGCTTCCAGCTCAGGGCTAGCCTTCGCCCATCCTCCTGGATCTGCGACGGGCAGGTGCCCTAACCCTCCGCCTCCCGCAATCCCATTAGCCGTGCTTTCTTGTGAAAGCCAGCACTCACTTTTCTCTCTGTGGAGGACAACTGCTGGGGAGACGTTGCCCCAGGAAACATGCTGACTGCTGACATAAGCCATGGAGGGCAGGGGGTGTTGTGGGGGGGCAATGGAAAAGAGAGGGGCACGGATTTTGCAGCTCACTAGCCATTCCTTTGGGAAACCAAAGATTCTAGTCCTCAAGGAAAAATCTTGAACAAACTCAGCAGCTCGGCTGATCGGGAGGCTGCTGGTTGCCTTGAAAGGGACCGAGTGGCCCTGTTCTTACCAGTTGTGTGCAGAGGGGGAGAGGGGGGTTACTCCTCCTGTTAAAAATCTCTCACTTTTCTTCCATCTGTAGCCTTTAGAGCAGAGAGAAGAGCAGGATCCAGGTACCCGCTTTTTATATAGTGCCTGCATTGCTCCTGGGAGCCATTGTTTTTTAAACTTTAGACATACTGAGAGTTGGAAGGGACAGCCAGATCCAGCGTGTCTTGTTATGAGGGCAGGAGGGTGGGGGCTAGGAGGAGAGAGATTTAGGGCAGAGAGTCACTTCTAACAACAGCAATTAATTTGAAGGCTGACAGCACTCTCTCTCTCTCTCTCCATTACAGTGATTGATCTGATGTTTTATGTGTGTGTGTGTGTGTGTGTGTGTGTATAAAATCATCACCATCCATATGGGGAGGTGCTGAGGAAGGGGCGGCTTCTTTTAGAACCAAGGGGCAGGGGAAGGGAAAGTAAACAGGAGAACGTTTGGGTGCCGTTTGTCATATTTTATAAACCTAGGGACCCCCTGTCTCCATAGGATGCCGGTAACAAAGGAGTGTTTGAATTATTCTTGTTAAAGAACATCTCCATCTCCAACTGTGCTAGAAAGCTTTTTGTGTTCCTACTCAGTGTGTGCCTGCAGCTTTTAATATTTCGAGTTGGGGGGTGAAGGGGGAGGAAAGGGGATCAGTTATTGTATTCTATTGCCTGTTTCAGTTCTGAGGGGGATCATTAGCGCTTCTGTCGGAACTTGAAGACCAAATAAATAACTCAGCGGACGAGGGCGCAGGATGTTTTGAAGCTCGCCGTGCAAGCACACGTAGACACAGTCACCATCATTAACAATTTTTGAGCGTGGCATTTCCAGGTGATACGGGCGACAGCTGCATCTCAAGGTTAAATAACCAAACAAAAGATAAATAATCTCAGAGAAATAAATATGTACTAAGATTGAATCAGTCCAATAGGCATAACAAAGACAAAACAGAGTTAGAAATACTAAAGAGGGGAAAAAAATCAAGTATCTTTTTTAAAAAGGTAATTCTGGCCCACTGAGAACTCTAAGCAGGACCCAAAGTGGGTGGAATCAATTTCTGCAGAATTTAGCAGCATAAATTTTCTAAGCAAGCGCAAGAGTGTGAATGCTCTCAGTAATGACTCAGCCAGAGTTTGCAGGACGGAAGCCTCCCCGTGGCTTTCCTGCAGAATCCGCACTGCCAGCCTGAGAAGGCCGCTGTACTGATGCCGCCTCCCAGGACGGCCCAAGGTGGGTCCTCCTGGTCATGAGCAGGGCTCTCACTGTGTTCAGAGTCCCGCTCCAGTCTGGGTGAAGGTGAGAGTGCATTGCATAAGGTCACGAATAAAACAGAAAAAATGTACACTTGGCTTCAGCTGGCGCCAATGGCAGACATCTGTCAGTCTAAAGATTGACTTACGAAAGCACCCGTACATTTATCTAAAACGGGAGCAGGGTGCAGCAGTTAGTAAGGAATTGGGGGGGGGGGGTTCCAGCAGGAGGTCGATGCTTTCTCCCATACAGCAGGAGAGATGTGTGGGTTAGTTGGAGGTTTTTAAGTTCTTTTTTTAAAAAACCCAGTGCTAACTCCAGGTGAGACCTGGCAGAAGATACTGATCTCTGCTGTTCATTTGTTTGATCTTCTGGGTTGTTCCTGTTTGAACTTGCCACCTACCTGAACAGTTGTAAATTTGGTGGCTATAAATCTCGAGATACATTTAAAAGAAGCAATAACACATCACTGTAAAATGTGCCGGTGTGACGTGTCTTTTCCGGCTTGAAATAATCTGCATCTACTTTGTGAAGACGGGACGGACAGATCCGCTAGCCCATTTTTTCACAGTCATCCTTTTGCAGCCAAGCATCAAAGAGACTGTGTTTTATAAGAGGGAGAAGAGAATTCTTTGTGGTCACGAGGCTTAGGTGGCAATAAACGCATTCGGCACTTAAGCATTTGAAATCCCGGTGGAGATTTTCAAGGAGCATATCTTTCGAATAGTCCAGGGTTTTGCTGCCACGCGAGTCTTCGAAATGAGAAGCTGCCATGAGGAGTCCAAACACTCTTCTCTCCCAGACCGATTTCAGCCGAGGCTGGCTTCTCCTTTTTCCTGCTAAGTTGTAAATCTTGCAGCCTTCTGCTTTGGGTTTCTTTGCCCTATCTGCTTGACGTCTGTGCAAAAGGATGGCATGCCTTAGGAGTGCCACGTCCAGCGATATGGCCCACTTTGGCGCCGGGTAAACCTGGCTGGGCATCCGATGTTCTGCTCGACCCAAGTGGACAGATCTTGCTGTCCTTCAGAGACCCTCACAGAGGACAAAAGATCCCATCTCCCCATGTAAGCCCCCTGCCTGTTTTAAAATCTACAGGAAAGGCCCTTCTCCCCATCCTCAGAGGCATCTCTGGTGCGGATAGGAGAGAGAGAGTGGCTGCTCTGAGTCTGTGGAACTCCCTTCCACTGTAAGCTAGGTTGGCCCCCATCCGGCTGTTCCTCTCCTGTAGGCAAAAAACCTTTACCTCTTGGCAGCTGGAATGAGCTGTGCAGGAAGGAGATTTTGAGGGATTAGCTGCCCCACACACACACCCCGTTAGAAGAAAATCCTTCAAGATGACTTTCCTAATCCTGTCATTTCTTTTGTTTAAAGCTTTCGTCTATCATCTTTGTGCCCAGGAGAGCTCTCGGAGTCCGTGCTGTTTTTATGTTGCAATCTGTTTAACTGCTTTAGATCTGGTAGCATATGTATCTGTTCTGTTCTGTTCTGGTTATCTCTTTGTAAGCTGCCTCGGGTTCTGCATTAGGAGGAAGCTGGGATTTAAAGAGGAAAACAAACTACGTATAGAAAAATTAAATGGAGCCTCCGGACCCCTGCCTGGCTATCTTTCCCCCTCATCATAGCCCATGGGGGAAGTTCCCGGGCTTTGACTTGGCAAGTTGGCAACCAAGACAAATCTCTCACACACACACACACATACACACACTCCCTCTCCTGCTCCAGTCCCTAAACAATACCATGGGCGCAGGAGCAGTGGAGACCGGGAGAGCGTGGATCAATGGGGAATGTAATATATCTAGAACAGGAGTCTTTAATGCAAGGTGATCGATAAGGTAGCGGGCGCACGGGGCTCTTGCAAGCGGCCAGGTTTCAGGAGAGAGGGCAGATCAGAGGAAGGAAGCCCGGGATCCGGGTGCTTTGGCGACGTGAGGCTGTTTCCTTGGGAGAAGCCCGGACAGGTACCTTAAGGCCCAGGCCAGCCCCCCCTCCGCCATCTGTCCGCCCCTCCAGAGGTGATGATCTGGAGCTAAGCGAGTTAAGTGGGCTTTCCCCGCTCACTTTACGTGGCTGTAATCCAAGCACTTTGCTCCAAACGGTGCCCCAAAGCTTTTCAGAGGCTTTAAAGAAAGCAGGAGGTGTTAAGATGCCTAAGCCCCTTTAAAAG